GGCAAGGTCAACTGCGTGGTCCCGCACTGCTTGCAGGCCCCGCGTGGCATGATACTGCGTGCCGCATGGATTTGGCAAAAGGTCGCGGAGGCGCGGGCAACGAGCTAAGCACGTCGGGATCGTGCCCAGGGAGCCCGTGTCAGCTCCGCGGAAGAAGCGCATGGTCGCGCCCAGCCTGTCCTCTCGCTCCATGGCCCCCTCAGCTGTCGTATCCGCGGTTTCAGAGCGCGCCCGACGTACTTCATGGCGTCCTTGAGCATCTTCAGTTGGAGGATGCCAGCGGCGTCTGGACGCTGCAACAAATGATGCTGGAACTCTAGCCGCACCTGCCTGCCGAAGTCCACGTGGCGGATTTGCTCGTCGGTGAGGGGCAGCTCGTGCTCTGGCAATCGATGAGGGACCCGTCGGGCAAAGAGGACCGCCGGGTGGTCCGACAATGCGGCTTCCATTCCAGGGCGGCCGCTTTGATCTCCCTGTCCAGCTGCTCCGACACGTGCCGACTACAATAGATTCTGTCAAGTCGGGACCTAGCCCGCGAAGACGCGAACGCCATCTCGGGCTGATGCATCTCCTCCAGCCCGAATGGGTGTCGAAGCACCGCGTTGAAGTGGCTCTCTTCGCGGTGGTTCCGATGGCCAGAGGCGCCAGCATCGGAGCACGACCGACGGCCCACCGCAGCAGGGGCCCAGTTGAAGTCACCTCCCATGATCGTCAAGGTGCTGGCCTGGGCGCCGATGCGTTGGCCCAGGCGAGTGCGAAGTAGATCCCAGAGGACCGGGAAGAGGTGCAATCCGGCCGTTGCTCCCCAGGGACGTCGAAGAGGTCGAGCTCCTGCACCGCCGCGCCGGAGTGAAAGAAGCTCACGATGACGTCGAAGGCGCCATCCTGGCCTCGAAGCCGAAGCCGTAGGGCGCGTCCAGGCCATAGGGTATCCCCCTGGATCTCGTCGGACCGCTCCAGGAAAGCGTCCTTCACAGTGATGCCGACGCTGGCATGGCCAGTGGACGGGCCGGCCGACCATCGCGCGGTGGCTTCCTGCGGAGGGGTCCAAGCCTTATGCTGGCCAGGCGTGCCATGGGCCTCGGTGGCCAAGACCATGTCGCAACTTGTCAGCGAGGAGCGGACATGCCGAATCTTGGCGGCATGCCGAGAACAGTCCACGGTGAAAAACGCCTCAGCGTTCCAAGTAACAACTGAAAGATCGCCCCGGTATTGCCCTGGCCGTAGCTGTGAAGAGCGAGAGGGCGGCGCGGGAATGGAGCGAGCTGGCGGCAGCACCGTCTCCCTCCCCAACGCTCCGAGCGCTCGGAGTAGGTGTCGTCGGCGGTAAATGTGTATCGGGACGTCGTCCACGTAACGCCCTCCCGAAATCAAGGCGGTCGCAGGAAGCACGTCCAGCCCACTGAAGAGAAGCGGTGGCACCGAAGGAAGCAGTCGCAGGCTCTCCACGGAGGAAGGAGCAGCAAGGGCGCATGATAGAGAAGAGGTCGATTTCGAAACAACACCATCGTGATATGGACCATTGCGCAGATAAGGATGAGACCAGCCATGGCCCCTCCCGCTCGGCCCCACTTGGGCGGGGAGGAAGTGAAGGACGATGTCATGGCCAGGACGATGTCGTGGCCTGAAGGTCCTCCGGATGTCCAGACCAGGATGCAGATCCTGGCCCCCTTGGCCGGCTAGTCATAAGTGGGAAGTGGTGGCGGACGACACCTCCTGGACCCTCCGCGTCCACCAAGTCGCTGGTAATGCGGGAGCCCACGTAGTCGGACCCAACCCGCACGGACTGGCCTTGCAGCGCCGCGCGCACCTTGCGCACCGACTCCAAGTCAGGAAGAAGAAGGCGAAGGCGTCCAGGGGGGGCCCCGAGCCCACCCTGCTGAGGTGGATGTACTCGCTCATCTGCGGGGTCCTGGCGTAGTCGGTCTCGCGGAGCGTCAAACCCGTGGCGTTGCAGACATGCTGCATGATCAACTTGATGACCTCCCCATCCTCCTTGCCCAACTCCCCCATCGTGATCAGGTCCGTGATGTAGTCCATGTCCGAACTCTTCTTGGTGCCTCTGCGGCGGCTGGCCGCCATCGCCTCCTGAGTCGCCGTGGGTGCAGCAATGGTGCGCCCACCGTTGCGGGACGCTTTCCACTTCAATCGGAAAAACGTATCTGAACTGTCTTCTTTGAGGATGGCGTCCGTGGTGGCGGTCCAAATGGGTGCCAGCACGTTGGTGACCGCCAGCAGCTTGTTGCGGGACAGCACCAGGAGGTGCGAACAGTGCGGCCACAGGCGGTTCAAGTTGCAGGGGAAAGAGACCTTCAAGATGCACGAGTCCGTGGAGCCATACATGTCCTGCTGTGCCCAGAACGCGTCTGCTGGCAGAACTGCTCGACGAAGCTGTCGGAAGAGGAGCTGGATCTAGAGGTCGGTGCACTCCGAGGGGAAGGTGATATCCAAACAGACCCTCGGGTCTTCATGGGTGCTCAGCGGGCTACGACGATGCTGCCTGGCCACAATGTTTTCCTCCCCGCCTGTCCGCAGGAGGGTGAACACCTCGTGCGGGTCCTATGCCTTCATGTCCATCGTCACGGCGCGCCGCGCCGGCAGCTGCAGTAGAGGAGCGTGAGGGAAATATACCTGGGGAGCGGCTCGAGGCCCTTCGCGTCTAAGGTGGAAGATGGCAAGGCCTGCGTGCCCTAGGCGGGGGACTGCCGGGCCCGCAGAAATCCACTCCATCGGAAGCGGCGTCACCCAACACTGTTTGCGCAGCGGGGCCCACTTAGCTCCGAGGAGGGGGTGCCACCACAAATCGGCGATCTTGGCAAAGTCGTGCATGACTGGCGAAAGGCCCACTGTGGTTACCATGCGGCAGGAGAGCGGCCAACGGTTCGGAGCCCGGCGCAGCAGAGCAGCCCAACAGCGGGTGAGCGCGTTGGTGTCCTCCAGGGCCCACAAGACCACGCGTTTGCCCTCACACCAATCCTACAAGGCGGGATCTCCCCTTTCGGCCAGAGCTGCCAATCCTCGCGAGTCTGCGACGATCTCGTTCGTGAACCTGTCCTGGCGGAAGAGGTTCGACCACTGCGTCAGGATGAGGGGAGCTGGGCCGCCAGGAACGGGCACATCCACCAGGTTCAAAACGGTCTCCCCTAGCTCCTTGAAGAGCGGGACCTCGGGGCTCCTCAATTTCTTACACTGCTTCTGGACGTCGGGGACCTCCGCCTCGCAGTGCCGGGATTCCGGAACTTCACTGCTTCCGCGCGGTCGTCCAATGACCACGACGCTTGCCCAGCAAGGTCGCACAGAAGACGAGCAGCGCGCTCCCTGGAGGCAATCGAGAGGCAGGTGGGCGCAGTGCCGGACATCATCGACAACCCAAGCATACGCCAGGGGTCCTTGGAGACAGGCTCGTAGGCGAGCTTCCGGAGGAGATGTTGGAGGTCAGCCCACGTCGTAGGGAAGTCGATGATCACCTGCCCAGACTCGGAGTTGCTAACTGCCTGCACCAGTTCGAGGTGTTGCAGGATTTCCTGCTGCACGAACTCCTTCAACATGTCCAGGCTTAGCCCGAGATGGGCGACCATCGCGCCATCGCGGCGGGGCTGCGGAGCGGTGTCGGGACGCTCGTCCTCGACATCCATGTTGCCAGTCGCCGCAGTAGCATCAGCAGCAGGCGTCGCATCGGCACCGGCCACCAGGCCCTGCGTGGCGCCGGAGCCGTCGGCCTCGGCAGGCGCGGCGCCAATATGCGCGGCGCACCAGGCTGCTCCTGGGAGCGCCGGGGCGTCCACGCCTCCAGCCATGCACGTTGCGCAGCGTCTGGCCATCGCGGCACTGGCAGGGTGTGTGATTGCGACTGGGGGGTGGGTTTGGATGGGCGTGACTCGCAGCAGCCGCACTATGCCTTGAGCCATCATCTTGAGCATCATCATCATCATCATCATCATCATCATCATCATCATCATCATCATCATCATCATCATCATCATCATCATCATCATCATCATCATCATCATCATCATCATCATCATCATCATCATCATCATCATCATCATCATCATCATCATCATCATCATCATCATCATCATCATCATCATCATCATCATCATCATCATCATCATCATCATCATCATTCATCATTCATCTTCATCAGCATCATCATCATCATCATCATCATCATCATCATCATCATCATCATCATCATCTTCATCATCATCATCATCATCATCATCATAATCTGCATCATCATCACTAACGTCGTCATCATCAGCATCAGCATCAGCATCATCATCAGCATCATCATTATCATCAGCATCATCATCATCATCATCGTCATCATCATCATCATCATCATCAGCATCATCAACATCATCATCATCATCATCAGCATCATCATCATCTTCATCATCATCATCATCATAATCTGCATCATCATCACTAACGTCGTCATCATCAGCATCAGCATCAGCATCATCATCAGCATCATCATTATCATCAGCATCAGCGCATCATCATCATCATCATCATCATCATCATCAGCAGACTCAGCATCAGCATCAGCATTATCAGCATCAACAGCAGCATCATCATAAGCAACATCATCATCATCACCACCATCATCACCATCATCATCATCATCAGAAGAGCCATCATCATGATCATCACCACCACCACCATCATCATCATCATCGTCATCCTCATCATCATCGTCATCGTCATCGTCATCGTCATCATCCTCGTCATCATCATCACCACCATCACCACCACCATCACCACCATTTTATCGTCGTCATCATCATCGTCATCATCATCAGCAGCATCATCATCAGCAGCAGCATCGTCATCCTCCTCATCATCAACATCATCATCGTCATCATCATCGTTATCACCATCATCATCATCGTCATCATCATCGTCATCATCTGTAGCCGCAGCAGCATCATGGCCACCACCATGATCGTCAGCACCACTTACCAGACACGCCGCCGCGAAGCGACATGGATCACCCCCTTATGGTGGAGGTAGTCGAGCGCGAGGGATACGTGCGTGAAATATCTGGCGGCCTCGAGGGGCCGGGCGTACACATACCCCAGGCTTCCGTCTGCCTTCTTCTCTCCCTCCTGGCTTGCCCTCTTCCCTTGCTCAACCCAATCCTTCTCCTCCTCCTCCTCCTCCTCCTCCTCCTCCTCCTCGTCATCATCATCTCATCATCATCATCAACAACATCGTCAACGTCACCGTCATCATCATCAGCATCATCATAAGCATCATCGATATATCATCATCATCATCATCATCATCATCATCATCATCATCATCATCATCATCATCATCATCATCATCAGCATCTTCTTCATCTTCATCTTCATCAGCATCATCATCAGAATCATCACCGTAATCATCATCGTCATCAGCATTATCATCATCGTAAGCATCATCAACATCAGAGCCATCATCCTTGTCATCACATTCACCATCATCAACATCACGCTATCGTCGTCATCATTATCATCATCATCATCACCAGCATCATCACCATCATCCCCATCATCGTCAGCAGCATCATCATCAGCATCCTCATCATCACCAACATCGTGATCACCATCAGCAGAAGCATCGTCACCCTCATCATCCATCATCGTCATCATGATCCTCATCATCATTCATAGCATCAGCAACATCAGCAGCATAATCATCAGCATCAGCATCAGCATCAGCATCAGTGTAAGCATCAGCATCACCATCATCATCATCATCATCATCATCATCATCATCCTCATCCTCATCCTCATCCTCACCCTCATCCCCATCCTCATCCTCATCCTCATCCTAATCCTCCTCATCATCATTTCCGTCATCATCATCATCATCGTCATCATCACCAGTATCACCCCCACCACTACCACCACCACCACCATCATCATCATCATCACCATCACCATCATCATCATCATCAGCAGCAGCAGCAGCAGCAGCAGCTACATCATCATCATCATCATCATCATCATCATCATCATCATCATCATCATCATCGTCATCATCATCCTCATCATTATCAGCAGCAGCGACAACATCATCGTTTTGGCTCAAGCGATCGCGCGGCTCTGCTCGCGGCGCCCCCCTCGGCGGTGGCGCGCGGTGGTGGCGCTCAGAGATGCACCGCCGCCAGGGCGCGCGACTCGCCGCACCGGTTGGCTGCCGTGGCTCGCGCGCGGCGATCTCGGCCAGCTTGCAAAACGACGCGAAGGTCGGGACAGAATCGGATCACGAAAAAATCACGACGGGAGGTTTTTCGCCATTTTCGGCTTCTGGGGGCCCTTACCGGGCCTCGGGGCCGTCAAGAAACGACTCAGGATGAAAAACTGGCCCTGGGGAATGGGTCCAAACCTCTGGGGGTCGATGTCATGAAAAAATCATGACCCTCGATCGTGAAAAACGACGCGAAGATCGGGAAAAAATCGGATCGGGATAACTCGAAATCTCTGAGAATCGGCGGGTTTGGAGGATGTATTGGGCGCCGCGGCCGCTCCAGAGCGTTCCGGAACGCTCTGAGGGCGCTCCAGAACGCTCTGGAGCGATTTATCCCGATGCTAGCCCTGTTCTAGCTTGCTCGGGCTGGTCGAGGCGCCCGAGCCGCGTGCGGATGGTGCCGCTGGGGAGGCCGCATCTGCCACGGCGCTGCTGCAACCAGGCGGCGGCGCCAGCTTACCAAGCGCACCCTCGAGCGCAAGCTCGTGGTCCTCCGTCCACATTACGATCGTGATCTCGCCGCCGTGTCTGGTGACGCCTAAGGTGTGCTCCAGTGGGGAGCAAGACCGTGCTTCGCACCGACATCTTGCCTCACCCTCCACACCTGCCAGGCCGCATCTGCCGCGGACATCGTGAAGGTGACTTCCGAGGCCAAGCTGCTCTGGTGGCGCCACCGCAAACGGCGGCCGGATGAGCGGCGGGCTGCTACGCCGGGCGACGAGGCTGCTGCGCAGGGCAGAAGAGATCTCCACGGACTTCGCTGAAGGCGCGGGCGCGGAGGCTGCTATCGGTTGTGGGACCGCCGCGGACGCTGCCTCGGACGACGACGCGGTGCAGGATGAACGGGCGCACGACCTGCCCCCGCGGGCCCTCGCGGCGCCCGCGGCGACCGGTGTTGCTGGTCCTGCTGGTGCGGTTGGTACGGTGGCCAACGCGGCCTACGAATCGAGTAGGGAATCGATTGCAACATCTACTTTACCCAAACTTGATTTCCTCATCGAGCCTACAAGAAAGACGTGTTTATTCATGCGCTCGGCGAAAAAGGTTTGAGTTAAATCAATTGTGTAGTCGATCCGCTAGTCGAACGAGGAGCGCGGGCGGCGACGGAAGCGAGAGCAGCCGGCGCGGCGCCCGCTTCGACGGCGCCGGCGATGGGCGACGGGCTTTTGAGTTGTCGCACGCCAGGCTGCTGAAGGCCCTGCGTCGGATGTTCGGGCTGCAAGGTGCTGCTCCGCGGTGGGAATGGCCGACAACAGGTCGGAGCAGCTGCGAGAGGCCATGCGGGCGGTGAGGGCCTCGAAGGCGGGTGATGTCTCGACCAGGGAAGGGCGCAGCTGCGGTCTGGTCTACCTCTCTCTCTCTCTCTCTATACATCTCTATTTCTCTCTCTCTCTCTCTCTTGGTCTCTCCCGCCATCCCCGAGGCGCCTGGCCACAGCCCCTCCTTTTCCTCCTCCCCCTGCCCACCCATGCTTGGGCCCACGCAGAGGAGGAAAGACGAGACGTGAGATGGCGACGGGGGTGCCAACGACGACGTTGACCGCGAGCAGGACGTGCCCGACGCCGCCCCCGCATGCCGCCGCGACGATGCACGACCGCGAACAGCCCCACGGCACTGCAACGGCCGGCGGTCACGCTGTCGGCGTGCCGACCTCAGTCGTACGACCAGCCGTCGCGGCCAGACCAGGGCGATTCCACGGCCGGCAGACTCCACAGGCCTACTACACAACGCGCACGCAGTCCGACTCCGCAACAGACCGACTACACAGTCGGACTCCCCAGCAATCCGACTCCACAGTCCGACCCCATAACTGGCCGACTACACAATCCGACCGCCCACAGTCCGACTCCACAACCAGACGTTTTTGCTACTGTGTCGTCACGACAAGGGTGCCGCTCGCAGGAGGGTGGCGACGGGGATGTTAACGACGACGTTAGCCTCGAGCAGGACGTGCTCAACGCCGACGCCCACACCACCGCGACGATGTATGACCGCGAACAGCCCCACGACACTGCAACGGCCAGCGGTCACGCTGTTGGTGTACCAACGTCAGTCGTACGACCAGCAGTCGTGGCCACACCAGAGCGACCCCACGGCCGTCCGACTCCACAGTCCGACCACACAGCGCGCACAAAGTCCAACCCCACAGCAGACCGACGAATTCACTACATCTGACGGCCCCCGCTGCATCGGGCGCGTCGCTTCCTTGCCTCACCAGGGCGCCCCCCCTGCGGAAGCCGCGCCCGCAGCTGCAACGGTGCTGGCGACTGTCGCATTCTCCGCTGATGAGGCCGCCCTGCAGCAGCCGCCCTTCACAGCGGGGGCACCGCTCACTGGCGCACCCTCACGCTCAATGGCACCAACGTGTCTGCCACGCGTGTTTAACCGCCCACCGCTAACACTGTACCTTGTGCCCGCGTAGGGCTTCTACCACGGCCGACGGCTCCACCTTTTGCCAGCCCGATTGCCCGCGCGGCCACGCGTCATCGGGTCCTGGCTGCGGCGGCGGGGGACGCCCCGTCGTTCGCAAGGCGCTCAGCGGCCAAGCCCTGGTCCCCCGGCCGCCAACAGGGGCGTCGCCGACCTGAGCCCTTTCCCACCGCGGGGCGCCGAGAGACGTGGCGCCTCGCTTGCTCAGCACCCCGTCTCTTGCTACAGTCGCTTTGCGCCAGGGTGTGGTTGTGCCAACGCTCCCCGTGCTTTCAGGTGCTGCACCACCACCAAGAGTGCGATGCCGGAGCCGACCGCGACGGGACACCCGTCTGCTTGTCCGATCTCGCTCTTGGTCTCTCTCTCTCTCTCTCTGTCCCCTTTCTCTCTCTCTCTCTCTCTCTCTCTCTCTCTCTCTCTCTCCTCTCTCTCTCTCTCTCTCTCTCTCTCTCCCTTTCTCTGGACATTGTCAGATCGGTGGAGAAAAATCACCCCTCCTCTTCCTCATCTCCTTACTTATCCTCCTCCTCCTCCTCCTCCTCCTCCTTCTCCTCCTCCTCCTCTTCCTCCTCCTCCTCCTCTTCCTCCTCCGCCTCCTGCTCGTCCTCCTCATCCTCCTCCTTCTCCTCCTCATCATCCTCATCCTCATCCTCATCCTCATCCTCATCCTCATCCTCCTCATCATCATCATCAGCAGCAGCATCATTAGCAGCAGCAGTATCATTATCAGCACCGTCATCATCATCATCATCATCATCATCATCATCATCATCATCATCATCATCATCATCATCATCATCATCATCCTCATCCTCATCCTCATCATCATCATCATCATCATCATCATCATCATCATCATCATCATCATCATCAGTGTCGTCATCATCATCACCACCACCACCACCACCACCATCATCATCATCATCATCATCATCATCATCATCAGCATCATCATCATCATCGCCACCATCACCATCACCATCACAATCACCATCACCATCATCATCAACAGCTCCTCATCATCATGATAATCGACATCATGACAACCATCATCATCATCATCATCATCATCATCATCATCATCATACTCGTCATCATCAGCATCATCATCTTACGCCTCCTCATCAGCATCATCCTCATCACCATCATCATCATCCTCATCATCATCATCAGCTGCATCATCATCCGCGTCGCCATCATCATCACCACCAGCAGAAGCAACACAATGCTCATAAGCATCATTATCGTCATCATCACCCTCATCGTCATCCTCACCAGCATCATCATCAACAACACTAGCATCATCATCTGCATCATCATCATCCTCGCCATCCACCAGCATCATTACCATCATCATCATCATCATCATCATCATCATCAGCAGCAGCAGCAGCAGCAATATCATCATCATCATAATCAGCATCCTCATCATCATCATGATCATCATCATCATAGTCGTCGTCGTCGCATCCCGCTACCACTGTCATCGTTATCATTATCAGCATCGCCGTCGTCGTCACCATCATCATCAGCAGTAGCAGCATCACCAGCATTTCCGAGTTAGGCTCTGCCTCAGGGATTCTCACTTGTTCGTGGAAGCACCAGTGGATGCGACGTGGCTCCCCGGGGGGATCTCCGGGGTTTCTGGCTCAGGCTCCCTGGTTCTGCTACCTTGCTTGGGTTGCTCGGGGTTCCCGGGGGTTCCTCGGGTACCCCGCCAGGGTTCCTTGCCTGCGTTTCTCGGGACTCCGTGCTTGGGTTCCTAAGGGTTGCTCGGGGGGTCCCAAGCGAGGCCAAGCAATGCCAAGCAATGCCAGGCAATGAAAAGCAATACCCAGCAACGGCAAGCAAAGCCAAGCAATGCCAAGCAATGCCAAGCAACGATTCCCAGCAATGCCAAGCAATGCCAAGAAATGCCAAGCAATGCCACCGAATGCCAAGCAAGGCCAAGCAACGCCAAGCAACGATTCCAAGCAATATCAAGCAATGCCACACAATGCTAAGCAACGCCCAGCAAGCAATGCCAAACAAGGCCAAGCAATGCCAAGCAATGCAAAGCAATACCCAGCAATGCCAAGCAACACCACACAAGACCAAGCAATGCGAAGCAATGCCAAGCAATGCCAAGCAATGCCAAGCAATGCCAGGCAACGCCGAGCAATGCCAGGCAATGCCAAGCAACGATTCCAAGCAATGCCAAACAATACCAAGCAATGACACACAATGCCAAGCAAGGCCAAGCAATGCCAAGCAACGATTCCAAGCAATGCCAAGCAATGCCAAGCAATGCCAAGAAATGCCAAGCAATGCCACCGAATGCCAAGCGCTGCCAAGCAATGCCAAGCAAGGTAAAGCAATGCCAAGTACTTGTCAAGCACTTTAAAGCAATGCCAAGCAAAGCAAAGCACTGCCAGGCAACGCCAAGCAAAGCCAAACAACGCCAAGCAAGGCGGAACAACACCAAGCCATGTCAAGCAATGCCGAACAAGGCCGATAATTGCGTGGCGGTGCATTGCTCAGAACTGCATTGCAGTGCGTGGCCTTGCAGCTTGCACCACATAATTGGCACCCAATGTATTGCACGACATCAGCTGCACAACATATCACATAGATGGCACCACATACGGTGGACAGCACATCTATTGCACCCCATGGGTTGCTCCACACGGATGGCACCCAACAGCTTGCACCAAATGGCTTGCGTGCACCACGTGCTTGCACCACATGGAATGCATCCCATATATTGGACCACAACAATGACAGTACCTAGCCTGCAATACGCAAGTGGCACCCCTCACATTGCATTTCATATGTTGCACCACATCGATTGCACACCATAGCTTGTATCACCCAGCTTGCACCGCATGTTTTGCATCGCATGCATTGCGCCACTTGGATTGTGTCACATGCGTTGCATCCCTTTGATTGGCCACCTAGAGTGCACATCGAGAGTGCAAGAACGCACCAGCTAGACTTATACTACCGTCATAATGTTCCTCCTCATCATCCCAATCCGCCATATCATCACCGTCCTCATCGCTCTCCCACATCATCCCTACTCTTTCCCAAATCACAATCCAATGTCGTGTCCCGTATTCCCTTCCCTTCCGTCCACCTTGCACCCGCCCCTTCCTCCCCCGCATACTTTCTCGCTTCCCCGTTCCACTTCCCACCGGCGCCCCTCCCAGAAATCGGGGGGAGAAAAGAGGGAGGAAGGAAAGCGCGAGCACCAAGGGCAGCGGCTGAAAACGGGAAGGGGGGGAGCAGGGAAGGGGCAGGGGAGAGAAAGAGGAGGAGCAGGGACGGGCAGAGGGGAGAAGGAGAAGGAGAAGGAGAGGGCGGAGGGGAGAGGGGGAAGAGGAGGGAGAGCGAAAAGAGGAACTAGGCGGGGGAACGAGCGAGACAAGGAGGGGCACAGGCGCACTGTCGCTGTGGTAGGCCCTCTCGCCTCGGGCTCGGGAAGGCGCCCGCGTTTGCGCAGCGTCCCGAACAAGGAGCCCCCGCGGGCGTATTCGAGGAGCAGATGCACGTTGTCCGCGTCCTCAAGGGCGGGGGGGGAAGGAGGAGGACGAAGAGGAGGATGAGGAGGGGGAGGAGGAGGAAGAGGAGGAGGAGGAGGCGGAGCGTCCTCAGGAAGGTCTGAACTCCTTACCTAGCCACTCTACGGGCCCGTCGGGCCGAATAGCCTCCAGCAGGGAGGTCCACAGCTTGACGCGCAGCCCTGGCGATCGTGCGGGCGACCAAGGCAGGGACCATCCCTCTGGTGGCTTCGCGCTTCTCAAGGTGGAGAAGGCGGTGCAAATGGAACATCAACGCAACTCCTCGAGCCGAATCCAGCGTGGGGGCGACGAGGGCGAGGGCAGAGAGTGGATCACTGGGCAACGGACGACCAAGGGCCACCCGCACCAGCTCGAAGAGGAGGAGGAGGAGGAGGAGGAGGAGGAGGAAGAGGAGGACGGGGGGGGAGGAGGAGCAGGAGCAGGAGTAGGAGGAGGGTGAGGAGAAGGAGGAGGGTGAGGAGGAGCAGGAGGAGGAGGAGGAGGGGGAGAAGGAGGGGGAGGAGGAGGAGGGGGAGCAGGAGGAGGAGGAGGAGGAGGTGGAGAAGGTGGAGGGGAAGCAGCAGCACCCACAGCAGCAGAGAGGAGAAGTAGGAAGAAGCAGCACCAACAAGACCTGCCGTTCCTAATCAAAGCAAAATGTTCCCACCATGCATGTCCGAAGGTGGCGATTGGAAAGTCCGCCACTGCGCCTGCTTGCAGCGGTAGGCAGGCACCGATTGGGCCCCCACTGATCTTGCTGCACAGCAAGAACCAGGCACCCACGAAGCGCACGCCCATATCCGCCGCCGTGCCGCAGGCACTGAGTGGACTGTCCTCAGGTCCACTGGGGCCCTCAACATTTGATATTGATCAGACCACTTGCGGAGCCCAGGCACTCGATTGAAGGAATGTTACAGCGCTCCTGAGTGCTCTCGGGCGCTTCCATTCGTATTCGGGGTTCCCCGCTTGGTTTGTCCAGGGGCCTCGGGAGCGTTGTTGGAGGCCTGAACCTCCAATGTGCCCTCCGTGCTGGAGCCCTCTTGGGGGCCTTTCTGGCTGCAGTGAAGCCCCGTGGGCCAGCCGAAGAGGCTAAAACCATCGAAACCGTTAGTCCCTGCATGGCTTTGAAAGTGGATGTGCTTCTCGTAATTCAGAGCGTCCAAGACGGCCCAAGAGGCCCCCAAGATCACCCCAAGAGGGGCCCATGGCGGGGAACCCGAACTGACATTCGGAGCTCCCCACGCCAAAAATGGCCCCAAAGACCGCTGGTAGGCCCCGAAGAGGCCACCAAGAGGCCCCAAGGAGGCCCGCAAGAGACCCCATGAGGTCCCCAAGAGGACCGCAAGAGGCCCCCAAGATCTCTCACCGGAAGGCCTCCCAAGAGACCCCAAGAGGCCTCTAAGAGGCCTCTGGTCCACGTCCTGGGTACGGCGGCGGGATGGGCCGAGAGCCACACCACACTTTCATGCCCACCTCTCCCAAGGGCAACATGTGCAGGGCCCGAGCTGGCCCCCGCTCGGCCGAAGATCTGCCCAAGACCGCTCCACGTGGTGCACGACCTGCCCACAGCCGCCACCAGACGGCCAAACATGCCCCCAGACAGTCCAAGGACCCGAAGATGCCAGGAGCACCTCCAAGATGTTCCCTGGTGCAGCCGAAGCCTGAGTAGTCGGTGTAAACTCGATCGACGACCCCAGACAGCCAAAGGACCCGAAACTGTCAGAGTCACCTTCAAATCTGTTCCCTGGCGCAGCGACCGTGATGCAACCCACCGTAGCCTCAGCAGTCGGTGCAAATGCGATCGACGACCCCCTTCTCGAGGAGCAACGATAGGAGGGGACTGGCATTGGGGGGGAAGCATCGACCTGGAACCGGCGATACATCGCCGATGGATCGGCGGCAGGCTCCCGATAGCAAATCCGCACATTCCTGGGCGGGTTGGGGCGATCGGGCCCCCATCGGCGATCTGTGGGCGATGCATCCCCCCTACGCCTATCCCATCGGGCCCCCCTCGGGGGTCGATGCATCCCCCCCTACGCCTATTCCTCTGTCGTTGCCCCTGACTTCTCCTGCCCTCGCCTCTCCAGGAGCACCCGCACAAGCTGCCAGGCGGCTGCTGGCCCTGGCCGCCTGCGACGCGAAGAAACGAGATGGGCCGGTCGCCGGCCGGCCGCAGGAGACGGGGCACCCCGCCGCGCTGCGCGAACGCATCGAGCAGGGAGCGCAGGCGCCAGCCACGAGCTGCGGAACCCTGTGTTTTTTTTGTTGTTTTGGGGGGGGAGGGGGGGGGAACACAGCAGCTCCTGTGGAAAAAAAAAAAAAAAAAAGCTCCTGTGCGGAGCCCTCTTCTTGAGACAGGACGCTGCGCAGAGCAGGCCCGGCAGCCCAGCGATGATGACGGATGAGCCGATCACCTGCGGTCGGGAACTTCTGCTTGGCGTGTCGCGGCGGCGGCCCCGGCGACACGCTATGCCATGCGAGCGGATAGTTCTGTCGCTCCGCTCCGCGGGGCGGGAGGCTGGGAAATGCTCGGGACGTTGACGCCTGCGGACTGGGAGGTGAGCAGCGTGCCGCGCCGAAGCGTGGTGAGCCAGAACCAGCGGAGCGACACGCTGGCCCAGAGTTCCCGACCGTGGTCACGATCTGCGGAGCCCTGTTCTTGATACGAACAAGCCGCGCAGGGCCCGCCCAGTAGACCGGCGATGACGGATATTCACCGAATGAACGAACTGGCCTGTGCCAGGACAGCCGTGCCACGCTGCAGAGCTACGGCGCAGGTTCCCCGGGGGGCGCGGTGGCGGATATGCGCGGCAGCGCAGCTGGATCGTTCCGCGGAGGAACAAAGCAAGGCAAAACCATAGCGTTGAAGGAGGAGGTTCAAAACCGCCCACAGATCCCGCCAAACTTCCACTCGAACTCGGCACCAGCAGGATCAGGCTGTTGCTGTTCGGCGAGGGGAGCAGAGAGACCAGCAGGAGGAGAAGCGACAGTAGCAGGAGGAGGAGCAGGCGGAAAACAGGGAGAGTACGAGGAGGAGGAGGAGGACGACGACGACGACGACGACGATGACGACGACAACGAGGAGCAGACGCAACGGGAGGCGCCGCGAGAACTGTGGACGCAACAAACGCTCCACGATAATCATGTACACACACCTGCTAAGCTATTATGTCATTGCTCATACCCCTCCTCCTCCTCCTCCTCCTCCTCCTCCTCATCCTCCTCCTCATCCTCCTCCTCCTTCTACTCCTCCTCTTCCTCCTCCTGCCTTGCCCCCTCATCATGGTGATCGTCCTCCTCACCCATTCCCCTCCTCCACCTTCTTCCCGACTCATATATTCCCGCACCAGCAACGACAATTGTTGGTCGGAGGACGCTGACAGCACCGATCAAGACCCAGACTCCCGCCTCGAAGTAGTAATACATGACGAGAATGTTCGGGTGCTTTAGCTTCATCTGCGTTTGCACCTCCCGCCACAGGTAGTCCGTCATTTTGTGATCGACTATCTTCTTCTTCGGTATGGCCTTCATGGCATAGTACTGGCCGCTGCTTTTGTGGACAACCTTCACACAGCTCGCATTTTTGATGGCACAGCCT